ATGTTAGGAATTATTTTTTTTTCTCATTAAAAAAACTGTGTACAAATTAAACTAATAAGGTTATAATTTATCACATTGTAGATACTATCCAAATTTTCATTACGATATCGATTCCAATATATTATATCTTTTAATTCTACCTATATGTACTTTGATATTTATATATAAAAAAAAGTTAGATATACTTGTTCTTTCTAACCGATTAAATGTACGTATTTATTTTTAAGGGAATATTTGGTATGAAGAATTTTTTACTTTTAAGAGAATCTTAAATTAAAATTTTTAATTTTTTTTTATGTTTAATAGTTGTTCTTACCAGAAATCTGCTGTAGAGCTGATCCGCCAGGTAAGATCGGTGAACCTCCTTCACGGGTACGCTGGTGCTCCAAGATGGGGGTGATACCTGCAAAAGAGACTCCGATGCTAAAGTTAGTGTTTTTGGGAGTATGAGTCTCGTATAAATAATGCACGTACCTTTGTGTGAATTAGGATTGTGTTGGGCCTTGGGCCTGAGATTTGTTATGATCTGATTAGATAGTAGATCTCGTCTGGAGCAAGATCCCCGAGATCAGTTATGATCTGATTAGATTGCGGATCTCATCTTGAGCGAGATCTCCGAGATCAGTTATGATCTAATTAGATTGCGGATCTCATCTGGAGCGAGATCTCCGAGATCAGTTATGATCTGATTAGATTGCGGATCTCGCTTAGGCCGAGATCTCCCTGTGCGTACCCGAGGTTATTCCACGCTGTGATACCGAGCTCGAGCTCGGCATGGCAGTACGGATAGTACATTAGCCCCCCGAGCTCCGAAGACCGTAGGTCGAGGAGTTAAGTCCGAGCTCGTCAAGTGGCTGTGGCCCTTCGCGTACATCTGCCTGTCGAGATGCCATGTGTCATAGCCGTCACCTCGTTCCCATAACGCGTGGGCGGCGCGGCGACAAGATTGTATTTTTATTTGTTTTGATGGCGTGGCCTTTTTGGGCCGATGTGGTGTTCCGATGTCCATGTTTCATGGTCGAGCTAAGGAGCTCGGCAATAATGAGCTTACTGCTTGGTTAGGCTGGTAAACCTTTGACCGAGTCAGCAGTTTGGTGAAAGACAAGTCGATAACTCGGTTGGCCAGTACAATAGTTATTTATGGGAATCATTTTATTTTAGTTTTTCGCAAAACATTTTTTATAGAAGTGAAAATCTAACTTTCCTGAATTAAGAAAAAAAATTATATATACATAAAAGATCATAATATTATTTTTTTTAAGAAAATAATTAATATTTTTTTTAGTCATTATCACTTAAAGAACAAACATGAAAATACATTAATTTTATTAACTAATTAGAATATAAATTAAATTAAATAATTTATTAGACATATTTTTTTTATACCACTTTTAATTATATTATTTTTAAGAAAATAATCAATACAACATTTCATGTACAAACTTTTAATAAATTATTTTATTATGTTTTTTATTACAAAATATTTTATTGTTATTAAGTAGAAATTATTATTTATTTTTTATTAATTTTCTTGTTGATCTAATAATAACAATTAAATAATTATATAATTTTCATAAGATATGATATTTTGTAGTTATTTAAAAATTATAAATTATAAAATTTTATTTGTAACTTTTTACTATGATTTTTAACTCTTAAAATTAATAAATTTTTTAAGCAAAATAACGCTATATGTTATTTATTTATTTATTATTTTATAGTTTACTTATATTTTAATTTTAATTATTATTTTGATTGTTAATTTAATTTTTTTCTTCTTATTATGATAAATCATGAAAATTATATTTTACATTTTGATTTACTAAGATTTTACATATAGTTTAATCATATACAAATTGTTGATTTTTTATTTTAAACTAAATATATATATATATACATATATATATTTATGTTAGATTATAATACAATTACATCCTACAACTACAAAAACAAAGAAATTTAATTTTTCTTTTGTAAAAAAAATTTGTATAATCAAGAAAGACCTAATCTTTACTTTCCAGAAAATCTATGTTAATATTCATATGAATCTTTAGGAGTAAACTAAATGGTTTTTGAACAAAATTATTCTCTACCAAATACTCTTTTAATGATAAAGGCCTATTTATTATTTATTAGTTTAAATATGAAGTTTAATGTTCATAAATTGATAATATAACTTTTTTTCATTATTGACTAATAGGAAGTCATCTTAAATATATTGTTCCTTTAAAAGAACTCTTATAAATGACAGTAAGCAAACATTACAATTAATACTTATTTATGTTTTTTTACACCATATTTATTTATGTTAAATTTCACTTTTAATCTTTATTTTTCTTTCTTTTATCACCTTTATAGAAAATAAATTATAATTAAAATGTAATTTAATATAACTATTATTAAATATTAATTATTATATCATTTAATTAATATCATAATCGATAAGCATTATTAATTCTATAATTTTAACAATGCATTATTAGACCAACAAATTGTTGGTGCGAAATATTATTAAACATTAATATAAACATCAAATACAAACACCAATGTAATATAAGACCAACAAATTGTTAGTTTCAAATTGTTGTTTTATGAATGAAAAAATGCAATTAAAAGAAAAAATTATACTAAAAAATATAGTCAAATTTTTTGACATAAATTAATCATTAATAAAATTAATAAATATTTTATATTAATAATATAGTTTAAAAAAAACACTAATCAATTATAGTTGTAACTAATAATAAGTGTTGTTCCTTATAAACTTTAAAATACTTTAAAACATATGCATCGATGCATACCGTGGCACTAATAAGTGTTAGTTCTATTGTATGTTTGGATAGAAGATAAGAATACAAAGACTAAAGAAGAAAAGGTTTTTTTTTTTTTTTTTGAATTTGAAGATTTCTCTTATTGAAGATAAAATGAAAGAAAAAAAATGAATTCTAAAATTATTTTTAAAAGTTTTGCCTGTTTTATTTTTTTCTTGAGCTTAAATTTGAAAATATTGTGCGTTATTTTAATGGTTTTCCCATTTCATTAAACAAAGGGGAAAAGTGGGTCATGCATGACATATCGTTGACAAGTTGATAGATTAATTTCACAAGAGAACAGACGAAAAAACAAAAAAGATGAAATAACATAACTTGCGAGTAAACGATAGGTGTTTATAATAATAATTGCCTCGTTAACAAAGAATTAAATATTATTAATGTTTGAAAAGAAAACAAGACGAGTTTAATTGATTGACGACGTGATAGCATATAGCTCCAGAACCTTTTACATCATTCGTAATTTAATACCAATTTTACCATTAATAAGTTCCAAGTTCATGGCTCACTCGACTTTGTTACGGCCTGCACCTTCCAACCACTTTATATATATACACTATACATTTCACATTATTCCTGCAAGTTAAAAACTAAATACTCACAAATGTCGTTAACACACCTATTAAAAAAAATTATAAATAACAAACATTTTATAAATTTCATAATAACTTTTGATATATATATATACATATGATTCACATGATATTGATGTAATTTTTGTCCACTATTATATCGTTCAATAATTTTTAATTAAATGTGATTTTTTTAAAACTTATCACTAGAGTGAAAGTTTCTTTTCTTAGATTATATTACAGAATTTTATAATAATATAATATGATTTGATACTTCCTTTTTATAAAACAAGATCAATATAGTATACATATTTCAAAATATATTAAAATATGAATACTTTGATTATCTTCAAATTGTTGTTTAATTTTAACAAAATTGAATATACACATATAAAGTGATATGAAGTTATAATTCAATAGTTAGATCAACAAAATTTACATTTAATTAAAAATTATTTTACGGTGTAAGAGTTGGTAAAGTTATATTGGTGTAGTTTGAACCCTAGATTATCAGTGTAAAAAACTTTACACTTACACTAGCAGTGTAAGGATGATTAACTCTTATTTTATTTTATTATTATTTTATTAAATAAGCAACTGAAACTACTAAAAAATATGATTAGTTATCCGTGTAAAAAAATTTTACGCTGCCATGTATAGATGATTAACCCAAAAAAAATTGTATAACATTACAAACTCATTTTAAAAAAAGTAGTTTGATACTTGCATATTAAATAGAGTACCGAATTGAATCTCGACAGCTTATTATCGTTTTCATAATATCGTTGTTCAAAAAATTAAATAAAATAATATATTTCAATATATTCTCAATCTATTTCTTAAAGTTGAACAAACAAATTATAGAAAAATATACAGTTCAATACAAAAACATAATTTTTACTACCTGTATACACAAATTATACTAGGGAAAGCATAAGTTTCCAAGAAAGCATAAGTTTCCAAAGGGGACGTCGCAAATATTATTCATACATCATATTTTTATAACTTTTTCATAAATCCAATTTTTTGTGTGTAGGGTTTTGGATTTATTTTTACTCACAATTTTTCTTTCTTGTTTCTTATCTCTCTTGTTTACTTAAAAATTACTGATCTTGTTGGCTGCTGTTTTAGTTATACAATAATTTAGATTTAGATTACACTAAAATATTGATTTAATTACTCAATTCTCTTCTCCCGTGAATTAATGTCCAATCGTAATTGGGAGTGTTATCTTGTTCATAATCACATTCAGTGCGAGCTTTGATGCCAAATTAGCCTCTTGAACACTTATTTATGTTTCTGTCCCTTTGTAACAAAAATATACAAAATTGCTTAAAATGAATGTAATATAAAAAGTTATAGAATTAAGAGAGTTTTAATTTGAGTTTTTGTACAAAATTATTCATTATTGATTTAAAAAAGAGGGTAGAAGGCACGTGACTATGGTCCATGGGGATAACCCTTTTGGTTCTGTTCCCCATTCTTGGCTATCCAGTTTCTTACTCTCTACTCTCTACTCTCTGTGACTCTGAGAAGACAACTAAGAATCAAACCCTTCTCAATTCTGATTATAATAATATCTGAAATTCAGAGGAAAATGGGGTCTCTTCCTATCACCGGTAAACCATTCTTCACCCAGCTCCATTGCTTTTCATCAAACAGAACCATTTCTCTGAATCAGAGACTCAAGGTCTCCGCCTCACGATCACGAGAAGGAGACGAAGAACCCCCTAAGCTCGACAGCTACGACCTCATGGAACTCAAGTTCGGTCGCTTACTCGGAGAGGACCCCAAACTCACCCTTGCCAAGGTATAACACTAATTATGGTTGTTAATTGGTTAAGAAAGGCTAACCCTTGTTAATTGGTTCCATACACCATTATCATGATTCTTGTTACTTGTTTTAGATAATGGGAAGAAAGGCTAACCCTGATGCTTCTTATCTTGACATTGAGAAAGCCTTTTATAAGAGGCGTGGTAAAGTTGTGGAAGTGGAGGAAGTTCCCTTTGAAGGAGGGAAGCCATCAAGGAAATTGGATGACCTTGGTTTGGTGCGTCCTGTTCCTGTTAAGGGGTTCCAATTCAAATCTGATGATAAAAAACCTGCATTGGAGATTAAGAAACCCGTCAGACCCGAATATACCAAAGGGAGTGCTGGGAAAAGCAGTGTTCCCAATGTTATTCTCCGAAAGCCGACCGTGTTTAAGGAGGATGGCGATGAGGGCACGCTGTCGGGGTTGAGAATGAGGCCCAACCTGTCGCTGAAAATGGGGGATGAGCAAGTTAAGGAGAAGTTTAGTGACATGACACTGTTGAGGAAGCCTGGGCCAATGGTTCCCAAGAATACCGATGCCATCCGAGAGCCTACTTCTAGTGTGGATGACCAGGGGAAGGATGATGGTGAGTTGGAGATGTGGAATGAAGAGCCAGGTGGTGAAATTGGTGGCTTTACATTGTTGGAACGCCCGCACAAACCAACTGCGGAAAAAGAAGAAGAGAAGTTTCGAGAAGTGAAGGCCGTGGTACCAAATGATGTAGGTGCTAATCTATGTTGCTACTTGCGATTAGAAGTTAGTGAGGAAGGCTAGTTTTTAAATAATTTTATGCTTGATTAATTAGGAACTGGAGCAACATGAGCAGAGAGAGCTGGAGTTCCATGAGGAGCCTACTGATTTGAGTCAATTGTCTGATTTAAAGTCAGTTGATTCTAGTGTGGAGTTGTCTGTGGAAGCTTCGTTACAGGCAAAGCCAAAAAGGTATGTGAAAATAGTTTTATGGTTTACTTTATAGTTTATGTCTGCAATTCCAGTTTTAGTTCATTACTTGAATGTATTTCTTTTATAGATTAGATCAATTTGTGAAACAAACCTCGAAATTTGTTGGAGAAGAGGATGCTTCCCTTAATCTTGGAGATAACACAAGCAATGACAGCTTAGCGAATGTTGCTGATGAGTCAGATTTCCAGGTAAGATTACATGGATTATACAAGTTGTTATTTATTTAACCAATTTTATGTTAACCTTTGTGCTCTTTAATTTTGTAGGAAGGCGAAGATGCTGATTGGACCAGGGCAGAAGATTTGATTAAGACCAGAGATAGAGAATATGTGGAACTAGTTAGCTGCAATACCAAAGGTTTCATTGTAAGTATTTAGAAAGTGGTATGAAGGACTTTCATTTGTAAATAAAATAAGTTTCTTAGTCTTTGATAAAAAATAAAAAAAAATATTCCTTCTGAAGTCGATTAAACCATTTTACAGGTTTCTTTTGGTTCCTTGGTAGGATTTCTGCCATACCGTAATCTTGCTTCCAAGTGGAAGTTCTTAGCTTTTGAGTCATGGTTAAAACAGAAGGGCTTGGATCCATCAAAGTACAAGCAAAACTCAGGCACTATTACAAGTTTTGATGCTGAAAATAAGAATTTTTCTCCTGATTCTCCTTCATATAGGGAGACTGATGGTAAAGTTGAAGACAAAGTTTCACCAGATATGAAATTGGAAGATCTTCTAAGGATTTATGACCAAGAGAAAATCAAGTTCTTATCATCATTTATTGGGCAGGTTTGGTATTCAAAACATAAATGCACTGCCCAAATATATTACTGAAGTTTTACCATGTTTGAATCTAAATATTAATATATCTATCTATTCTTTGTTTTGCAGAAAATTAAAGCAAATGTGTTAGTGGCAGACAGAAAAATTAGAAAGCTCATATTCTCTCTAAGACCAAAAGAGAAGGAAGAATTTTTAATAGTGACATGTCAGTTGCTTATTTAATGAAATAATAATAAAATAAGCAATTTTAAAAGATATGATTGATTATCAGTGTAAAAAACTTTACACTTACACTAGCAGTGTAAGGATGATTAACTCTTATTTTATTTTATTATTATTTTATTAAATAAGCAACTGAAACTACTAAAAAATATGATTAGTTATCCGTGTAAAAAAATTTTACGCTGCCAATATATATATATATATATATATATATATAATTTATATATTTTTTCATTTCTCTTTATTTTATAACATTTTAATCTTTGTCAATTTTTATTTCTAAAGGGAGTTGGATAATTCTAACATAACCAATTAGCTTAAGATTATTAAGTATTATTCAAATACGTATTTTAAATATTTTTTAGACTAAAGCTTACAAAATTAACAAAATGGCTTTAATGCCACCAAAATAACTAGAATTTTCGTGAAAGTTGTTGTGTAAATGATTTGAAACATGTGTTTCTTATATAAGGATTGAGGTTGATTCTCATCTTGAACATGAAGTTATAATTGAAAGTATCATTTTTATCTCTGGAGTGATTTTCATATAAGGGTAAAGTGATATCTTCTAATTGTAACTTCATGTTTAAGTTATAATTTAAGTCTTAATCCATAATTAAGAAAAATAGATAATAAATTACTTTTATTAGCACCTTTCGATAAAAATTATAAGAATTGTATTTCATATTTAGAACTACAATACTAAAAATAATTATTAATATTTTTTTTAACAATCCTAATTACTATATAGAATTATCAAAGTAACCTAGACCTTCTAATCAAATAACTTAATATAAATATTATTAAATATTAATTATTATACTACTTACTTAATATTAGTTAATAATTAATATTATAATTTTAATGATTAATGAATAAATAAAATTATATTTTAAAAAATTAGAAACTAAAATTACATTTCAAATATTATGAAAGGGGATGAAAAAAGTATTTTTTTTTTATAAAAATCATGGTGAATGTTATATTTATAATATAAATTGGTTAAAAAAATATCATTTCATGATAAAAAAAAAAAAAATATATATATATATATATATATTATAAAAACCCTCATTTGGAGTTCAATTATCATGATAAAAAAAAGAAAGTATTATTTAGCTCTATAAATTAATACATGGACATAATTTAGATAGAATAAATATGATACTGAATTATTCTTTAACTAAAATTAAAATTAATGTTAATTATCAAAACAAAATATCAATTTGGATTAAAGAATAATATGAATAGGTTTTTATTTTCTATATCCCATGAATTGGGCCATGGACGAGAGATGGAAAGCCTATCAACATGCGCATTTAGTCATACCCAACAAAGCCCCCTTTTATATAAATTTGGGCCTGCCTACTGCTCACGTTTTCCCCCGGCCCCATCTGCTTCACTTATAGTTCGTCACTCATCACCTTCCCTAGTTCTTAAAAAAATAATAGTTGAGTAAATTATTAAAATAAATAAATAATTATGATATACAAAAAAAAAAAAGTTTTTATTATTAAAACTAGTACAAATGGTTAGATGGTTGTATTTTTTAATATATAAAACTTAATTGCATGGAAAAAGTTATACCTCTTACTAGAATAGGGTACATAATAACACAGTTTTTTTTTTATAAAGTTTATTTATTCTATTTAAATTTTAAAACAAAATATTTTTAATTACACACAGTACATTTTTTTTTCCATAAAAAATATAGGAGCATAAGAAGAATTAAAGCTGTCAAAAACCTTACCTCGGCAATTCCAACGTTGGTGAGTGAGAAGTGAGAAGAGGCACGAAGCATAGTCTTCTCCTTGCGAGTAAGTTTCTCTGAATAAGTCCCACTAAACCTTCTACTCGTTTACAAACATTCAATTCCATGTAATGTTTTTCATTCATACTTCAATTCAATCGCACCCTTCATATCTCTTTACTTTACTTACATAGATGATGGAAGAAACTAAAGGAAAATATGCTGCTGATATTTCCTCCATAAAAGAAGCACATGCCCGAATCAAATCACTCGTTCATAAAACTCCACTTCTCTCCTCCACCTCTCTCAATGCTATGTCAGCAAGATACCTCTACTTTAAATGTGAATGTTTCCAAAAGGGGTGGGTCAAAAATTATTACTTTATCAATTCTTTTCTATAAAATCAACAACTTAGATTCATGCCACACTTCCTTCTCTCTTCTTTGCCTATCAGTGGAGCTTTTAAGTTTAGAGGAGCCTCTAATGCTGTTTTCTCTCTCAATGACGAAGATGCTTCTAAAGGGGTTGTAACACACAGCAGGTTTGTTTGCTATGTGCAATTGTGCACTAATTCTAGTTGTTTTTTTTTTTTTTTTGCTAAGTTAGAGTTTGATCCCTCATTTTTTTTTTCAATTTGGTCCCCTAAAACTAAAAAAATCACTTTGGTCCCTTAAATTGTCAATGTTAGATCAAATTCGTCCTTTAGTCGATTTATCACATTAATCTGGTCAACTTGGTAACATGCACAAATTGTGAGAGATGCTAAGATTGCCAAAATTAACACCATTAGGGAAAAGAAATTGTTGGAAGGACCTACTTGACCAACAAAAACATTTTAAGAGGGAAACTTTTTTAGACTTACGGATCAAATTGAAGTCAGAAATAAAAATGAAGGACCAAGATTCTATTTTAGCATTCTTTTCTCTTAATAAGATTCTCTAGAGCTCTGCTGATTGTGTTCTACAAAATCAGTGGAAACCATGCTGCAGCATTGGCTTTGGCAGCAAAGCTACGGGGGATCCCTTCATATATTGTTGTTCCAAAAAATGCCCCAACTTGCAAAGTTGAGAATGTAAAACGGTACGGTGGTCAGATTGTCTGGTCTGAGGCATCTGTTCAATCAAGGGAAGAAGTTGCAAACAAAGTGTGGCAAGAAACTGGTGCTATCTTTATACATCCATACAATGATGCCCGCATATTAAGGTACAATATTGAATGTTGATTATTGTTTAATTTGGTTCCGGTGAAATGCCCTGTCAATCAACTTGTTTTTAGGAATAATCTTGGGCTGGATTCCTTCTTTCCATAGCAATTTACCAATTGGATCATGTAGTGTAGCCTAGCTAGTTTTTCTTCTTCTTAAAAGTAGAAGCTCCTCCAATTGGCATCTGTATGGAAGCTTTGTTTATTTGGCTGTTATAATTTTCTTTCAACTATAAAAAACTACCTTTTATTTCTTTAGAGCTTCTCTACAATTGTGTTTGGCCTAACTTATTCTCTTAAGCAGAAGAGAAACCTAAAAAAATTGGGCCAATTGCAACCTAAGTGCAGCTTTTAGCTTTATTTATTTTTACACACCTCGCTATAATTCATTGGCACTCAGACATCTAACACGCATCTCTTCTGATACTCTTTAGTCGTTCTTTCTCGATTCCAAATTAATTGCTGAGCTGTATGATCTATGATACCATGTGACTGTTTGTTTTATTCAACATCAAAAACTTGACATACTACATAGGCTTGATCTATAGGAATTTCTGACTTGCACAACATTGCACTTTAAACATGTTGGTTTGTTCTTGCAGTGGCCAGGGTACCATATCCTTGGAGATTCTGGAACAAGCTCCACAAATAGATACGCTAGTGGTACCCATAAGTGGTTTGTTCACTTTTTGGCTATCAAACTGTCAACCAAAATGTTATAAAATTTGCATTAATTTCAAACTTTTTGGTTTTCCAACAAATAAAACTGCAGGTGGTGGTTTGATATCAGGAATTGCATTGGCTGCCAAGTCCATTAACCCAGCTATTCGTATTTTTGCTGCTG